GGGGGGGTTGCTGCGTCTGCACTCCTCGCAGTTTCCCCATCAATCCCTATGAATTTGTCTGTGTTCAGGCCTGCAACACAGGGAACAATAATTCCAATGGACACTCAGACATCCCCCACCTCCATCCATCCCGCCAGGTCCTACCTAAAAGCCCATGTCTGTCAATCACATTCAATTCACCCCCCCTTTACTCCCCCAGCCTTTTCCTTTCTCCACCCCGCCCACCCCCACGACACACGTTTATCCATTCCTGTTTATAATAATATTACTATGCAAACTCTGTGGATGACAATGCATTACGCACGGTGGTATAAATGAGGCTCCTGGCTCCAATTTGTTTACACTGAAGAGGGGGGTCACATCATGCCCTGCACAAAGTAGCACGGATTTGATGCATGCACATTGTCTGGATCCCGATGCATTACCTTTTTGCCGTTCTGTCGTAACTCCATCCTGCTCCTGCGCCCAAATCACCAAATCCTGTTCCCGGGTAATTTCTATCCATTTAGGAGCGGTACAATGCGTGAAAGCAACGAGAACAAAAATCCAGTCTTTCCACGTTCTCGCTTTCAAGCTATTTTCCCCGGTTTCATAAGCAAGTCCTCAGGAGTGGAAAACAGCATATTGAAAGAGAAATGGTGGGGAGGAGGAGAAAGCTGGATGAAAAAAGAGGGGGGTCTACGGGGTTACAATCCAACCACCTCCAAAAAAAGCCAGTCTTTCACCTTTTCCAGTGCCTTTATCATTTCCTCGGCCTGAAAGCAGTCATGGTCATGATGAAGATGCCGCGGATTTGCTCGCTGATGGGCGAATAGCTGTTTAAACATTTGACTTGAACGCGTCCTTTTTTCCACCGTCTCTCCTCCCCTTTCTTCAGGCTAGTTTTAGCTACGCTGATGCTAGCACTAGAAAAGATAGCAATCGACGGGGCCACGTTGGTAGCAATCATTCCCCCATGGACGAGCAAAAAGAAAATCCCCAATTTGAAAATCTCTTTTTTTTTTTCCTCCTGCCTCTCTCTTTGCATGCAAATGGTTCCCACCCCCCCTCCTCCGGAGCGGAACTGTGAGAAGCTAGCAGCAGATGCTAGCTGTCAGCAACGACGCATCAAAATAAAACAGGGCTGCTTTTATTTCGCCCCCAAATACACGCTCCTCTCTTTTCTCCAAAGGCCATCCGAGTAAAAAACCAAACAGGGTCGTTCGCACCTCGACCGGTGACGTAGGAGCACGAAAAAATGAATAAAAACCGAATGAGGAAGTGTAAAGAAACAGGCCGCGTTTTAATATTTTTTACTCATTTTCCTCCGGAGACGCCATTTTTGAAGGCGGATAGCCGCTGTCCGTCCTCCCTCTCCTCCTGTGTGTCTCAGTCGGTGTCTGCTGTGACCTCCATTCACCGGCTACCAGTCTGCCAACAAGCCCTGCTCGCTCTTCCACATTTTCATTCTTTGAAGAGAGAGGGGGGAAAAAAAACTATTAATCAACACCAAACACCGAGCAGCTCGCCCCGCGCGCTGCAGTTTGCTGAGACGCATTCGAGTACAAACAGATAAAACCCTCCTGATAACCAGATTTATTGAGCTGCAATATTTATGTTGAAAATTCATAATTTCACACACATCACACATATTTTCAAGCTAAATGCTGCCATTAGCTTGTATTCTAATGCCTATATAGTGCAGCCACTACAAGTCAATGAAGGATGATGATGATAATAAGACACATTTTTTAAATTGGTGAAAAATCTTTTTTTATTATAAAAATAAATAGTACATAAAAATACAAGGGATAAGACATTTTCTATCTATCTATCTATCTATCTATCTATCTATCTATCTATCTATCT